CAGCATAAAGCCACATTCATGAATATACCATAGATTGTATAGGTGATGTGTGGGTGTAGGTGTGCTTAGATATAACATACATATATCTGCGTATAAATATTATTACCAAAGCCTTGTCTCGCATAACCGGCAATAATCTTGTGAGCCAATCAATTCTACCAAACACTACGACTCAGAATTTCCACTTAAGTGATACTGTGGTACGACCAAACTGTCGGGTTTGAAATAATTCAAAATAATGGTCAACAGTAGGTAATTCAATACAGCTCGCTTACATACACGCACACATAAATACATATCGTATAATTCAGTTATAGTCGTGGTCATTTGTTTTGGGGCATACAACTCAGTTTTGAGGCGAAATTTAGGTCAAACGCATAAATTTGACATAAGAACCTCAAGCGCTTAACTCACAGGCAACTGTTTCACACATATACACTGTACATATATGGTATGTATATACATATAATATATGTTGAGATTTATGCAAAGTCAGCAGAAAAGATATGTTTTTTTTTTTGTCGAAATATTAGGTAATCGAAAAGCAGGAAGCTAGTTGAAATCCTAAAGTTGAAAATAGTCCCTTTTAGTAAGAGAAAGCAGTTTTATGCTAATATTTTTTGTAAAAGTTTGATTTTTCTAAAAAGATGTACTCTTTTTTTTATCACCTGTAAATCAGGCCTTAATACAATACCACTCATGGAATCTCAGGTCCTATATGATCACATTTTGCATTGTTTTTTGTTATGCATAATATAACTAGGTGTTCAAAAAAAGCTTAGGACTTACAAGACCCTTCAATTGCCTGATATAATTAAGGATTGCACTATAAATTCGTTTTCTGTAAATTATATAAAATGCGGTGCTAATATAAGGATGTTCTAAAGTTCCAACTTGGATCCACCTCCAATTGTCCAAAAAATATTTTCTTAAGACATCTAATTTTTGGATTAAGAACACGTTATTTCCCGTCTCATATATATAATTTATTTTACAACTTGAGGCTTAGGAAAAAACTTATGCACGTAAAGCTATTTTATAAATTATTGCTGCCAGTGATTATATTGAAACTACTTAAAAGTCCACTGATCTAAATGAAAAAAAACAGCATTTAGCATTGTAAATAAAGACTAACAGTTGCGTAATAATCAAATAGCTGTTTAATTGACTTTAAAATAAGGAAAAATAATGTAAGAAACTTTGGTGCAACATTTTCGCAAAACAAATATCCACAACCTACCTCCTCTTTAACTAAAAGCTTTTGCTGATTTAACCCTTAACACACTTTTTTGCTGTAGCTGGTCGTGATTAAGTTGTCTGTCTATTTTTTGCATGTATACACTACTGGACATTTTCAGATTGACAGATGTTTATGCAAGCAGTAGGACATTAGAAAGCACTTGTCTATGAATTTTTATCGCATTTTCAGCATTTTTATACACATACATATGCTTCACACATACCCTTTTGCCCTCTTACAATTTAAGTCACTTGTACATATAAGTGTATGTATATGCATGCAAGTAAATAAGAAAACATAAATGTAAATAGTAGTGGGCACAAATACTTCTCGTAAATAGATATGTACGAGTGTAGATGCATATGTACGTGTATTTAAATTGTAAACTATATAACTGTATTTATAAATTCCTGTCAGAAGGACATGCACTCTCACAAGTGCGCACAGCATGCGACCAACGTAGCCCTTTTCACATGCAAATTTTCATACCCATTTACATATGCTGCCTTTAGAGCGCAGCACTTGAAGCGATTGTACTCGTAGGCGAAGAAAAGTTGATCTTTTGCTCGAATGCAAATTTTAAATTGAATAGTTTCTTCGTGCAGCCGTATACTTGTATGATATAATATATAAATATATACATATGCTTGAACTCGCATGTAGGGATAAAAGTTTACAAATCACATACTGTCTATATATTATATATATTGAAGTTATTCTTATAGGATAGCAATTGAAAATAATAATACTGGGTGTTCCTTTCTGAGATAAAGAATGTTTATTAATTTTTTATTTTTAATATTATATAACACTCAAAAAATAATGAAGTGGTCAATATTTTGGTTTGGTTCAAAACTTTAGCAACTTGAGTGTTTGAACAAAATTTCGGACATATGACAATCGAGACTGCGCCTAATGAATACCTTATCTTATACGACATCATATAACAAAACCTCACGAATTAATTTTTATGCTTCTCTTACCAAAAGTTTTCCCAATAAAATTATTATTTCTCGAAATAAAGCTTATTCCACAGATACTACTGTCTACTGAACAGCAATGTCAAGCACAGTTATTAATTTTGACAGCTGGCTTAACAGCTATTCCTCTAGAAAAGACTATTCTATTTCTAACTAAATAAATTTTCGTAAATTATTTTTAGGTCTTATAGTGATGACAGAGAATGACAGTTTCGCTTAACCTTCGCTTAACTATTCCTTTTAAGAATTTTGTTTGTAAGTGAATGGCAAAACCAGTTTCCCAATTGAAAAAATGTCACAGAAAAGCAACGAAGGGTATGAAGCGGTCTGGTACAGACGGGGTTGATATAATTGTCTTCAGAAATAATTGCATACTATACTATAAGGGCAAATTTTGTAAATTATCATTATTATTATTTGGACAAAAATGTGTGCCAAATTAAATTATAGATAGCTTGATATATTTAAAATTTAATGTATCATATTTATCGGTTCTGACAAAGAAACAGCTTCTTGTGGAGAAAAAGATGTGATTCAGATCGATATCTCAAAAGCTGAGAGAACAACATTTGCGTACATACAGACTGATAGACGCTAAACCAACTCAATTCATCACGTTCATTGGCTTGACCTGCTGATCAATAATCATTACATTGTTAATGCGAATTTTTCCCATTTTTTTTTTCAATGCGTGCTTCAAATAAACACAAGACAAAATTTGTAGATCTCTCTTCTCTTTTGCATATTTTTTTGAACATTACAAACTTTCTTTTTTTCTTTCAAATATTAGGATATTATTTATAACTCTACCAGTGCAATATACATATGCTTGTGTCAATTTAATTTTAATTCTATTTTCAAATATTAAGATCTGAAGCACATAGATCTAGAGACAAAGCTCTATCTTCCTCTCCTGTCAGCACTGTCAAGTTAACTTCATGTAGAATATAGTAAATCACTTAAGCTGTTGTGTGCAGATGCCATCATTTGTATAACAAATTCAATTATGAGTATATCTTACACAGGCAACTTTTCTAAGCAAATACAAGGAGCCCACACTATAAACTTTTAGTAACTAAGGCCAGCATACAATTTCACTTCTAAAATATATCTTTCCTTCTCTGTCTCAATATTTCGTTCTAACTTTCTATTTAATGACTTAATTACCTCTGAGCAAAATTGCACTTACCACAATGCACTATGCATTTAAACAAATTTAACAAGAAATTAGTAGAATATAAGCAAAATGCAAACCATAAATTAAATGCACTCAGTTCTAAATAATCCTGCACACACACACAGACATAAACTCACTAAGCTTTCACTGAAAAGCTAACAAGCAAACCTCAAGCATACCCAACTATCATCGATATAAATTTTCTCTCATGGCCATTCGCATGACCGCAGCTTGACAGTCAAAACCACAGGTGAAGCTATCGCTAGCAATCGTAAATACTTAATCACAATAGAATATTGAGATATGCAGTACTAATCACACATAAGTTATGCAGTTTGTATAAACGCTGAAGTGCAGTAGTTTGTTTGGCAGTAAAGGATGAGCATTAAGGTGCGCTATAAAATTATATGTACCTATATATAATAATTGTAAGCTATTTTTATAATCACGTAAAATGCTACACAGATACTAATTCTCAATCGAATACACGGAAAACCTAATCGACTATACCGAGAACCTGAACAAAGCCATATTAAAACGGCTCCTGAGAATATAAAGTGTACCAGGCAGTAATACATGAATTCTTAACTATAATGTAACTGGTATATTTCTGACAAAAATCTGACAATTGACTACTCGTAAAATACCAACAATTAAAGAATATCAGTTGCTTGCATAGAAAAAAGACAGTCGGGAGAGTAGTTGTGGTTCACACTAGTCGTGAAGTAATGAATAATTAATTGGTTTAGTTTTGGTATAGCTTTAGTTACCGAAATCTTGTAGACTAATTGGCAGGTACCTTATATATATGGTTTAAGAATTAAAATGCATAATCTTATTAATGTAAAGACTAATTATATTAAAATTTTTGCTTCAAGCTCAAATAGATGTTTCAATTTTCACTAATTCGAATATTTCTTTTATTTATAATACAAATAATTTTATTTAATAAGGTGATGAGTTAAGTTAATATGAAAAACAAATAAAAATAAGCATACTTTCACACTAAAAGCAATGCAAATATTAATTTCTTTATCAACTAAAAAAATAAACACTTAGATAAAGTAAATAAAAACAGAGTATACGTAGATAAGTTGCAATCCACTCTCTTTTGAGCATCTGCTACAGTGCGCCTATATGTTCCCGAAATTATTGCTGATATTGCAAATAAGGTGATCAGAAATTATATAAACTGGAAAGGGTGGGTAAATGTCTATCGCACTTCATTTCATAAAAACATGGATATTAAAAATAATTTCGCGACCTGTCTCTATTTATCTGATTAATATGAGTTGTTTGTTCGATTCGCCAATCGTCTTTTTTTTTCTAATAGCAAATTTGTAATAATGTCTCGCAAAATGCTTTAAAGAAAGCCACGATTTTTGCCTTACGAATTTCATTCTCTAAAAAATCATTAAAAAAAATCGAAAATCACTAAAAGGTAAAATATGATCAGTTATTATTGCTTAGAATAAGTGCACTTTATTGAAAATATTTAAATGAGAATATCTGCAGTACCGTAAGAACCGAGTATAGGGAACTAAACACTCTTACAAGTAGTTGTTTATAAATATACACAAATAATTCAACTTCGATCAGTTGCTTTAATTAGTTTCAACATTCAAGTGTTTCGTTTGTAGGCTATAAAAAGTATATTGATAAGATAAGATAACGCGAATTCAAATCAAATATTACGGTATATTAGATTATGGAAGGCGATTGGTAAAAATAAGTGTCAGTACTATCAAATCATATTCTCCTGGTATATACATATTTATTCCAGAGAATGTTAACTGCTAAAATATTGTTAATTAAGCATTTTAGTTTTCAGTAAAAATAAAAATGATAAAAATGTATATAAGTGCGAGTTTATTAGCGAGTATAGCTCGGATAAATCAATAGATAAGCAAATAAAGAGCGAAAAGCAAACGGTCATACTAAGAATAATAAATATATTCTCTTATATTACATTAAACCAGATCATTTATTATGGCTTCGGGATGATATCTTTTCGAAAAAGCGAGAATGGTTAAAATCGTAAAAACTGCTTACATCAATAAACACAAAGTATAGTAAATATCTGAATCACACCATATTGCTTTTCATACTTTTCTTGATTAGATGTCTTACAAAGACATCAACCCGAATCTTATGGATTTCTTGGTGAGGGTTCCCACAGGGATATTGAAGCACAAAGTCTTTACTTTGTTGATATTCTAAATGCCAAATTGCCACGCTATGATTACAACTTGAATAAAAGTTATAGCGCTAGATTTCTGTAGGCTGTGGATGTCGTGTGTCTATCGTGGCTTGTCTATTGCTTATAGGTACACTGCAACAGGGGCAGGTTTGGGATGGAACGAGAAAAGTAACAAATTCTACCATATTATATCGACTCTAAGCACTACGAAGTTACTGAGTATATTATGATTTGATCACGGGTGTGGCCAATGAGTTAACATTATTTAAAGTAATGTATTAAATACGTATATTCATGTTAATATGATTTTTTTATTACATTATCCACTGTAGTTAACCCTAAAGTAGTCTAGTAACAAACTATTGATACCGAGGGAAATATTTATGTTGCCAATCCAAGGTTAGTCTGTAATGAGCTAAGTAGCTCTACCAATATTGAAAACTTTCAATTGATTGTAAACACAATTTTAAATAATCATATATTTTCTTTTACTTTATTTAGTTTTGAGTTAGATTTGTTTGTTATTTCATATTTATATTATTATTTCATGTTACGGTATTCGTATGCAGATTTTTATGAGTCTTGTATTTTACATTATCTTCCTATTCTTTTCACTAATATCTTTACCATTTTATTAACTGTTCCACTTACTGCAACTCACATCAGGCCTCGCGCAATTTTGCTGGCAATCAAATTGCCTACCATGCATGTAACTTTTATGGCTTTTGGAGGACCAGATTTGGATATTTTATTTCTAACTACGATTAACTGACTATTTAGAATCAATTTTTTTCTTCCAAATTATTATGAATTCTAATGATATACGAATTCATTTAGGAATGGAAATATAAAAATAAATACTCTAACGGTCTCTATAACATTATGTTGGTATAATAATGTAAATCACAAAACAAGGACCATAATATCTTTATCAGAAACGTTTAGATGAGAATTTTGCAGTGTCGTATATACGAGTCAACAATAAAGTCTCTCAAAACGAATGTAAGCAACTGAAAGACTCATAGTTGCTTATAAATATATACAATTATTTCAACTTCGATCAGTTGTTTGAATTCTTTGCAACAATCAAGTGTTTTGTTCGTAAGGTATAGAAATAATATTGATAAGGTAAGTGGACGCAAAATCAAATATAATATTGTGGTATATTAAATTATTCAAAGAGATTGGTAAAAAAGCCACCTAAAAGCCACCAAAATATATATATATATATTTTGCGAGATAATGTTAGTTGTTAAAACATTCTTAAAAAGCGTTACTAAGCATATTAGTTCTCAGTAAAAATAAAGATAAAATTAATACGAAAGTGAAATTGAGCCTTGTGTATAGAAATACAGGCAAATCATGTAGACTGCCGCAAATAACTGGTATAAAGTAAGAGATAAGCAAATAAATAGCGAAACACAAACGGTTTTACCGCTTTAGAAAGAAAAAATTATACTCCTTTTTATTACATTACACTGGATCATTTTCTTCTACATAGCTTTTGTATGTATTCTTTTTGAAAGACATAGAATGGCTAGAATGGTTAAATCGTTTTCATTAGTAAATATAATGAATGTCTGAATTTCATAACAGTAATGTTCATATTTTTCTTTATCAGATGTCATACAAAGTGGAACAACTACCCGAATCTTATGGATTTCTCGGTGAGGGACCACATTGGGACACTGAAACACAAAGCCTCTACTTTGTCGATATTCTAAATGCTAAATTGCTACGCTATGACTACAAAGAGAATAAAACTTATAGCGCTAAGGTAGAGAATGAGAAACAAACTTCCTTCATTATACCAATCGAAGGCGAGATTGGCAAATTTGCTGTAGGTTGTGGATGTCGTGTGGCCGTCGTAGCGTGGGATGGTGTGGCGCCTATTGTGAAAGTGGAACGTATTGCCTATACACTGCAACAAGGCGACGAAGTTTGTGAACATAATTTCAACGACGGCAAGGCCGATCCACGTGGTCGCCTTTTTACTGGTACCATCTACGGTGATTTTAGAGAGTCTAACCCACTTGGTGAATTATATCGATTTGAAAAGGGGCAGCCAATGGCAGTTATAAGGTCGGGAATAACCATTTCCAACGGGTTGGCGTGGAACGAGAAAACAAACAAATTCTATTATATCGACTCACCAAAGTACGAAGTAACCGAGTATGATTATGATTTCGATACGGGCGTGGCCAGTGAGTTAGAATATATTTATTAATGTATTTAATATTCATATTGTCTTACTTTTTTTACATTTTTTACTATAGGCAACCCTAAGGTAGTTTTCAAGCATGCCGAACATATGCCCGACGGCATGACTATTGATACAGAGGGAAATATTTATATTGCCACGTTTACAGGTCATACGGTCTATAAAGTCAATCCAAGGTTAGTCTGTAATTAGCCAAGAGACTCATAAATACGGGGTAGCCCAAACCAATATTGAGTACCTTCAAGTGATCTTTTGAAATAATTATTGTAGTTGCGTTTTTAAATTTGTATTTATTTTCTTCTACTTTCTTTGACTTAATTCTGATTTGTAAATGTCATGGTAGTTTATAAATCTCTTAAAATTTTTATGAGTATTGTATTTTTAAATTCTCTTCCTATTTCTAACACTAATATCTTTACCAATTTACTACCATTTTCATTTACTGCAACTCACATCAGCACTCAAGAAATTTTGCTGGCAATCAAATTGCCTACCTTGCATGTAACTTCTGTGGCTTTTGGCGGACCAAATTTGGATACTTTATTTGTAACTACCTCGTCGTTTGGCGATGAACCTGCTCCAGCTGGCTATACATTTAAGGTTACTGGTTTGGGTACAAAAGGATTGCCAATGAGGAAAGTAAAAATCTAAAACACCAATGTGTATATATACCTTTGATTCGAACTGGAATGCTTATTTGTAGTATCACTAAAATTTTCTTTACCTTAATTTGAAAATAAATAACTTGGAAGTGAAATTGTCTATCATTTAGTAATACTATGGTGAGTTAGGTAGATGATGATGGAACCATATAATAAATCCAGATATATGTTGAGAGGTTCATTTTGATATTAGACGGCAAGCATATAATAAAAAATGTACTAAATTAAGAATAATTACGTGGCTGTTGAAATAATATTAACTGAGTAAATAAAAATAGATAGAACTCCCAATGAATGGCTATATTTGTTTTATCAAAGACTTAGTAAACAGACATTTAAAAGTTGTGCTTTATTTCAACACACACTAAAAGCTTCTTTGTTTGCTCCGAAAATTATGCAACTGTTTCTTGGCAAGTACGTATGATAATGATAGTCATACCGATAACAGATGCAATGAACATTTTATATTATTTTTTTGTCATTTAAGTGACCTTTGTTGAAAGAATTGTAGAATATCAGTATATTTAAAAATCAAACACATTTATCGGGTTATCTCTGAAAAATAAATTGCAATTATTGAAATTATAGATTATTTATTATTGCACCATATTCCGTCAATTTGCATGATATCGAATTACCAACCTGTGTTGTACTTGTTCTATTAAGAAATCATGTTTTGAGTGAAAGTCAATTAGAGGAGATTTTGGCAATATGAATCCAGCCAATATTTTATAATACTGTTGACCTCAAGTTGTCACTAAGTTTTAGTATTTTCTGTTTTTTTCTATAGGCCTCTTCTGTAATTTAAAAGCGCTGTCGAATATTGTCTGACGTGAACCTCCCACATTATCGCTTTATCAATGGAACTTTTATTAAATACTTTACCCCAGTGAACAAAAATGAATCATTCGTTTGTCATTGCGATAAAGCCGAATATAAAAACGTAAGCCCAAGACACTATAACAATATACAATATATAGATATGTCTCTATACAAATATTATATATATTTAAATGTTTATAAGTGTAATTGTGTAGCTGGCGCTGCTTTTAATTGCACGAACATATTTATATGATTTGTGAATGATAATTTAATAAAATTATTTATTGCTTAGCGAATTTGCATAAGAAATTGAGAGAGTGACAGAGAGAGTTCAAAAGATAACAAATTTTCAATGGCAATAGCAAAGGTTTATTATTACTTCTCTACAATGGATATAATCCGATTTATTGCTATATTAATTATCGACCCGCTGGCGTCTCAAAATCAAAATTATTCGCTATCAGCGCTTGTCAGCTGATCACTTTGAGTTTCATTAACCGAAGTAGTTGCCTCCGATACTTAACAAGTATTTAATGCTATAAATATTGGAGAGCAAGCATCGTACTTTTAATGATAATATCTACTAGAAACGCAGAATGTATAATTATTACAAACTAAAGTATTTGTATACTTACGAATAGTTGTACACTAGATCCTATAAAGCCATTTTCTTTTATCGACTTCCAGTAAAAATTTCATGACATTTCATCTTTGGGAGTGAAGTTATTGCTTTTTAAGTGTCAGTATGTTTTTGTCGTCGGTGCGAAAATGAGCTTTGAACAAAGAGCCAACATTAAATTTTGTTTTAAAATTGGTAAAACTTTTACCGAAACGTTTCAATTGATGAAACAAGTTTATGGCGATGATTACCTTTCCCATAGCAGAGTGCACGAGTGGTTTCAACGTTTTCAAAGTGGTCGTGAGGACATAAATGACGATGAGCCGAAACCCAAAAAATCGCGCCTGGCGAATTTTAAAGTGAAGACAATGCTGATTTGTTTTTATGATTCCAAGGGTATTGTCTACAAAGAATTTGTTCCACACGGCCAAAACGTTAATACGGTATTCTACCATGGAGTTTTAAAGCGTTTGGTGCGCCGTATTCGATGTGTTCGGCCCGAATATCGCAAAGATGGAAGTTGGCGTTTGTTGCACGATAATGCGCCGTCTCATCGATCGACGCTTGTGGCCGATTATTTGACCAAAAATCACATTTAAACAATCAACCACTCCCCGTATTCAACTGATATGATACCGTGCGACTTCTACCTTTTCGGAAAAATGCATTTGCCGATGAAAGGAAAGCGTTATGCAGACGTGAAGGCCATTCAAAAGGCTTGCTCCGGCATACTGGCGGTCATACCGGGCAACGAGCTAAAACACTCGTTCGACATGCTTTTGGACCGTGCAAAAAGCTGTATTAAAGCCGAAGAAGACTATTTTGAATAAAATTAATTGGTTTTGCCGATAAAACCATTTGTTCAGTCTTTTTTTTTTAAAGTCCTGTTTACTTTGGAACGCACCTTGTATATGGCATAAAAGATAGTAATCACATTTTAATTTTTATTATAATATCTATATAATTATTATCAAATAGACTTTTCCACAGAATTTATCATAACAAAATCTCAAAATGAAAGTGGTTATTTAGAGTTAACAGCCAAGTTAGTTTGAGAGTGTCTAAGGTTCATTTAGTGTTACGAATTCTTTGGTTGCGATTCGTAGGTTATTATGAAAACTTATCTATAATTTTATTACAAATAATATGGAGATATTACTATTGACAGATTGATTATATTAATGAATATTTTATATCAACCAATTTCGATAAAAATCAACCAACATCGATAATAATCATTCAAATACTAATTAGTCCCCAAAACAAATATATTTTTTTCTCTAATATAAATTTTATGTTTGCTTGCACTTTTGTTATCTCTAATAATTGGGTAGAACTTATGGTAGGGTACTTAAGAGCACTATGCTGCTCAATTATCTATAAATATAGAAAGTCAAGTGAGTGCAGTTCAGTCGCAAGTGAATCGTCTGTAGTTGCAAATATTTTCCCACAAGCAAGGTACGAACGTGTAAAACGAATATAATTGATTGTAAATCTACTTGTAATATTATATTCGTGCAAATAATTTACAACTGCAAAAAGTGATAACTGAAATTTGAAACGAAATTGCGTTTGTTAACAAAAAGTGTTTAGTATTAACTCTTTTTGTGAGATCGAAAAAGCAGCTTTTATAATAAAGCGTATTCGTAAAGCAGCTGCTTTAAAAGCAGTGAAAATTGCCCGTCAAATAATTCTAGCTCACAGATTGCAATAATTTTTGTAATTGTTAATAGAAATTAACATTTAATGTTTTGGAAAAAGTTTACTTCGCCAAACAATACGTAGTATAATAAATATAAGTGCTCTTTTATTGATACCGTTCTGTGCTTAACCTTAGTGCTCCTTAAATGTTTTTATCAGTGAGTGGACATATCAACCTTATCTCGCATGCAATGTGGATATGGTAAATGTTCAGGTCGTGTATACGAATAAATGTCATGGAAACCATAGATTAGATGATCTTTTAGATATTGATAAAATTTATAAATAGTTTGCTCAAGCATTTTTATGCTTTTCGCGAACTCGTATTATTAACGTTTCTCTTTAATTCCGATCTTGTGTGAGAGTAATTAGAAATCCTATCATATTATATTTTCTATAATTTGTTAGAAAAGTTCGATCTATATCTTCCAAAATATTGATTTCAGGTCTGTTAATGTTCTTACCCTAAAAGTGTTTTTTGAAAATCTTCTCTGTTAAATCTCTGTAATATATTTACATCAAAAGTCATCAAAAGTAATTGATCACATATGAATATACATGCATGTACATATATAAATAAACTTTCCAATAAAATAGATAAAAATTTTAAAATCATTTTATCACCGTTGATTAATAATATAAAGTGTTCGATAGTAGTAACTCAAAATTATAGGTAGTAAGCCGCGGGGGTCTTTAAAATGCTTTATATATTTCACCATGGTGGAGTAGATGGGATTAGTGAGATTATAAAATTGATAAGCTTTTTCAATACTTAATATGCATGAAAACCACTTGCAGATAAGTGTGTTGCCAATCAAGTCATTAATTAAAATATTTAATATCAAGTATAAGTAATTTGATGGAATAGATGAGAGATCAAAATCAAAACTTTATCCATTATGATCTTGTGTGCCCTTAAAAAAGTTGCTGAATTTTTGAGGATTTAAAAGATAAGGTTTCATAATTATAGATTATTTTTTAAATGAATTATGGAAGGTGTTATAAGGCACTCAGATTATTATGCAGCTATTTTAACACCTGCTGTAAAAGATTAAGCTAAGCTTGTCACTGATCTTTATCTATCTATCTTTACTTTAGCTTCTGAGGCATTTTACTAAATAAAAAATATAATAAGTCTTTGCTGTAAAACGACAATTTATACCATACATTTAACAAGCCGAATTTACATTTCGAACTGAACAGTTTATCAGCATAAATAATTTATTTGCAATACTTAGTTAACGCCAGACAGTATTTTTTTCTGCACACAAGATAGCCCAGAGTGCATCTTCACGTTTTTTATCACTCCAAGCAGAATTTAGACAGCTGGTTTGTCAGAAATAATTCTAGCCTCTACAAATAGATCATATAATATATGTATCTAAGACTAAACACACTAATTTCAACTAAATTACTCCTTTTTAGATGTCTTATAAAATCGAACCTATACCTAACGGAGAAACCTTGATTGGTGAAGGTCCACACTGGGATATTGACACACAAAGTCTTTACTTTGTCGATATCGATGTTGCTCGATTACTACGTTATGATTACAAAGAGAACAAAACGTACAGCGCCGTGCTAGAGGGTGAAGAATATGCCTCTTTTATTATACCAATCGAAGGCGAGAGCGGCAAATTCGTAGTGGGCTGCAGCCGTCGTGTAGTTGTCGTAGCTTGGGATGGTGTAGCACCAAAAGCCAAAGTGGTGCGCGTTGTACGAGAAGTGCAAACAGACTTTGCTTTGAATCGTTTGAATGATGGTAAAGCTGATCCACGTGGTCGTCTTGTGGCTGGTACCATGTATAATAATCCAAAGGATATGTTTTCGAAACGTGAGGGTGAATTGTATAGTTTCGAGAAAGGTAAACCGGTGGCGTTAATCAAGTCTGATGTTGGCGTCTCGAATGGTTTGACATGGAACGAAAAGACAAAGAAATTCTACTTTATCGATTCACTTGACTACAATGTCAAGGAATACGATTATAATTTAGACACAGGCGTGGCAAGTAAGTGCAAGGCTTTTATTATAACAAAGGATTATATATTATTTAAATTGCTTTTTTTTTATGCCACAATAGGTAACCCAAGAGTGGTCTTTCAACACAGCTCATATTTCCCTGATGGCATGACTATTGACACTGATGGCAATATTTATATTGCTACTTTTACCGGAGCCACGATTTTTAAGGTGAAACCAAGGTCAGTATTTATTATTTCGCTTATTTGACAACCGTATTCCTACAAATAAAATTTAAAATCTATCACAGCACCGCCGAGGTTCTATTGGAAATCCAAATGCCCTGCAAACAAATCACTTCAGTTGCTTTTGGTGGCCCAAATTTGGATATCTTGTACGTAACGACCTCTAAACTGAATGATCAGCCACCACCAGCTGGTAATACCTACAAGGTGACCGGTTTGGGTGTGAAAGGTTTGCCGATGACTAAAGTACAATTGTAAGAGCCACAATAATCACACAAGCTAATTGTTATCTCGCCGGCAAAGTCTTTGTTATACTTTGGATTAATTTTGATAAGAAATATATAAGCATATATAAAAAAAATCACTACTAACTGAAAAATTTAATAATTAAAAGCAATAATTGGCTTTTGAGGTTGGTCAGTTCATATAATTTCATTGAACTTCAAGCACTTCAAGTACTTCGGACCTTACAAATGCCTCTAACTATAAGTCTTAGCAATATTATTTTGTTTTCAGAGTTTATAAAGTGTACGAGGTTTATGTTTGGTGATATCAAAATTTAAATAACCAATAAATAGTATTTATGGCTGCCTAAGGATTAAGCATACAATTTTTCAGAAGAACAAACTTTAACATCAATCAAATATAGATTCAAAGATATCCATATTCATCCATATGGAAATATAATTAAAAAACAAGTAAGGAGGGCCCACCTTTTTTTATACTTGCGCGCAATTTACAAGGTTCAAAGCAGATGCATGATATCAGGTGTTATCACAAACTGACTGACATATGCGACATAAAGTCGGATAGAATTTCGAATACTATTATATGTAGTATAAAAGAGAAAGGGCAATTCGTGGACCGATTTAAAACATATTGGATTGGATTTAGCTAAGTAATTTTGTTTTCTTTTGGTGCACGTTTTTTTTTATTGTGTAAAACATTTTAGAGCTTAGACAAATTTAATCTTTCATTAATCTTTCGAGTTATTATTCGCGATTTGCATCGACCGAAGATTTTTTTTATTTTATCGAAATAAATCAATTGTGGCATTGTCCAATATTACATATTTACATAATTTGGTTAAAGTTTAAGGTATCTTACTTATTGGATATATGAAGTAGGAGAAGTGCTTATTGCCCAGATTTTACTCATTTTGACCAAGGGCATCTTATTAATATTAAACAAGTAAGGAAGGATGAAGTTCAGGTGAGATCATTTAATACTCTCGCAAAGCTAAATGATCTATGGATTTTCGTACATATTTTAATTAAAAGCAGAAAATATTGCATTCATTATTAAACATTATAGGCGAAAAGATATAGAAGATTAGAAATTCTTTTTGAATTTCATTAAGATTTTTTACGTATTGACCGATAACGTATTGGTTGAAAATATACCATATATATTAGGTATAAATATTGACCCGATTTTACTCATTTTTGGAACAAGGGCATGCTGTCATCCCAAAAATATTATCTCTACATTTCAATACTAAACCTCACAGATTGACCGATATGCTTGTAAAAAATCAGTTAAATGCACGCTTGGGTCCTTGAAAAGATATAATTCGACCTCGACTCATATGGTTGAAATCACCAAATTTGGTTGAAATTAGTCGAGTAGTTTTTGAGATATAGGCGGGCGGTGCCATGTCCATTGTCCAAATTTTACAACTGCTCTTATAAATCCCTTCCCTACCATCATGGTTGTGTAATTTAATGCTTGTGACTCATGTATTTAGTTAGTTATTACACTTTTAGTAGTTTTCAACTTAACCGTTATATGGGCAGTGGACGTGGTTATTACCCGCTCTTACCCATTTTTATAGCGTAGAAAAGAATGCTAAATAGACTCCTTTTAAGCTAGTTTGGTTGAGTTATGTTCCGCAAATTGAAAGATATGTACCTTAAACCATTTAAGGGGCGGGGACACGCCTACTTTTTTACTTAAAAAAAATTTTTTGACAGGTGTTCCTTGTTACTGGGATCAAATCAGCCAGATTACAGTTATGTATTTCAATTTAGTGCTTATGTTAGTTATGGCACTTTATAGGTTTTCCAAAGAACGTATGTAGCAAGTTTCATCAAGATATCTCAATTTTTACATAAGTTATCGCTTTGCAAAAACAGACAAACGGACGGACAGACAGTCGCTCGGATTTTAATTCGTCGCGTCAATCTGATCATTTATATACATATAATTCTAAAAATATTTTGATTAGTTTTAGGTGATAAAAACTATTATATTCTGTAGCAACATGATGTAAGGGTAAAAAAAAGATTATCTTTGAATTTACACAAAAATATATATCTCACAGAGTTAACGATATTTTCCGCACCGAGGCCCACATATTCGGTATCTGATGACTTGAAAGCTCACGGAAGGGTACCTAAACGTGGTATCCAACTGGGCAAACAGAAGCGGCCTAGCCGTCAACCCAAGTAAAACCGAAATGGTTTTATTCACTAGGAGGTATAAGATCGCAATTGTGCCTCTCCCCTCCTTCGGGGGTTCACGTCTTCAACCAGTTGATAAGGTGAAATACCTAGGGCTCATCCTTGATAGAAAGCTTTCTTGGAGGCCGAACATCGAGGAGAGAGTCAAGAAGGCATCGGTCGCCTTATATTGCTGCAAGGGAGCTATAGGGAAAAGGTGGGGACTCTCACCAAAGGTGGTGTTCTGGCTCTACGAAACCGTAGTTAAGCCAATACTGTTCTATGGTGTGTTCGTCTGGTGGAAGGCGCTCGAAAAGACTACTCTGGCTAAAAAGCTTGAGCGAGTCCAAAGAGCGGCGCTCATCGGAATCTCCGGTGCACTGCGAACCTCACCAACGATAGCTCTCAACGCTATATTAAATATAGCACCCGTGGACATTGCCGGTAGGTGCATTGCTGCGAGGTGTGCTATTAGGCTCAGAGAAGCTGGGCTTGTGAAGAGGTCCGAACAAGGACACGCCGCAATTCTCTCCTCCTTCAACTGCATTCCTGAAAATTTGGATCACTGCGTCTCAGCGGCCTCTCGAGGCGGCTCTTTCTCTGCTCATATCCCGACGAGGGAGATGTGGAGGGGAAGAAGCCGCTGAAGAAGAGGCGCGGTGAGCTTTTTCACGGATGGGTCGAAGCTAGGAGGGAAAGTTGGAGGGGGGGTTTTCTGTAAAGAGCTCTCCGTCAATCTTTGCTTCAGGCTACCGGACCATTGTAGCGTTTTTCAGGCGGAAGTGGCCGCGATCAAGGTGGCGGTAGAAGTACTGTTACGTAGTGTAGCTGCGTTTAGAGAGGTGAGCATTCACTCCGACAGCAGAGCGGCAATACAAGCCCTGAGTGCGCGAACCGTGCATTCAAAGCTAGTCAAGGAGTGTCTGTCCTCGCTAGAATTAGCATCAGGCTACTTCAATATCAGGCTCGTTTGGGTGCCTGGTCACAGCGGAATCACTGGGAATTGCAAGGCCGATGAGCTGGCCAGGGGGGGCACCCTTGCCCCGCTCACATCGGAATGGGATCGAGTTGGTTCTCCACTAACGTCTTGCATCCTGGCTCTGGACCAATGGACCTCGCATGCGCTCAGCCGACGCTGGTCGACGACCCACTCCTGCGCGACTGCGCGATCCGTCTGGCCGAGAGTGGATCGCAGGAGGTCGGGGGATCTTCTCGCCTTGAACAAAGTTCACCTTGCCGCCTTGGTAGGAGTTCTCACTGGGCACTGTCCAATGGGAACTCATGCGGTGCGGCTTAGAATACTACCCGATGGCAGTTGTCAAAGCTGTATGGAGGAGGGTGAAGTGGAAACATCCCGGCACTTTCTCCTCCATTGTCCGGCTTTTGCTAGGCTGAGATTGAAACATCTCGGCAATCATACTTTTGGCGGACCAGAAGATCTGGCCGAAACAGATATTGGCCGTCTCAACAAGTTTGTCATAGGCACAAAGCGCTTTGTCGACATGTAAGGGTCTATTGATCCGGCTCATAGGAGTTTTGGGTACCACAACGGACCGGCGTTTAAGCTGTCCAAGTGTGATCCTTCTTAGGATCGACCCTCTAACCTAACCTAACCTAACCTGACTTGAAAAGTTATGGTCCGATTTCGAGAATTTTTAGTCGTGAGCTACCATTGCTGTTTAATTTATATACTGTAAAGTGTAACAGTCATAAGGAATCAAAAAATGTATGCGTGGTGGTATTTCGATTTCGCCCATTTTCACAAATTGAATTGAAACTGGTCGAATCCTTCCTGAAGTACGGGATTTTACCTAAATTTGGACGCTACCACGCCCATTGTCGAATTTTTAAACTGATTACTTTTGAACCTATAATCATCATCTTGCCTGTGACATCTCGTTTCTGACATTTTTAGTTAGTGAGTAATCGCACTGTTTTTAGTTTTCAACATAACCGCCTCTTGTGGGCGTGGTTATCATCTGATTTTATCCATTTTCACAGTGTAGAAGGAATAGCTGGAAATACTTGTTCTCAGCAAGTTGTGCTGATATATAATATCTTTAGTGGTTTGTAATATTTGTTTATTAGTAAGTAAGCTTTTTGACTATGTTACAACATGTTGCGAGAGTATAAAAAAGTGTGTTAATTACGTTAGATTTTCATAATAGTAAAATTTCTGTATTGTTTGCTATAGTTTCAGTAGCTGTTAAACACTTATCCTTCACTTCATCCGCACTATTTGCAATATTATGGTTCAATTGTAAGGAAAATTGCTAATAATTGTGGCGCATACACGCCGTTGCACTCAAATTAATCTAATTAGTTGCTGAATTCACAATTTACATAACTTTTCTCTTCCACTCAAAGAATCGATATTGAAATGAAAATAAATAAATTGCACTTATCCACTCACTCGCAGAGTTTTTGCATAAATACCAGACTTCCGCACTGAAATGCCTCGCAACTTCCTTATTATCTTTGCTCAGGTGCCCCTGATGCCACGGTTTTATATTATACCTATAAATTATATATACATATGTGTATTGCAAATTTGCTATGCCATTCACCGCTCAGTAGTCAACTTAAAACGAATTCCCAATTACATACACATTTGTCCATATTTATGTGGCACAAATGCTAAAGGCACGCTTCTACTTGTAGGTACATCGCTCAATACTTTGATATGCCAACCGCGTTCTCGACCCATCGCACAGATACGCTCATTAAATGGAACTTAATGTTGGGTTGTTACATTTTTAATGGTGCGACAAGTGAATTCCTTCACGAAAATATGAAAGGAGTACTTGTGTTTCAAACTTCTGCGCTAAACTGTGAGCGACTTCGCAGCGAAAACGGTTAGTGTAACGGCATTTTATATACAAAAGTTTTAACATTCAATATAATTCATTTCCTTCTGTCTCCTCACGGAC